TCACAATGATAGAAGACCTTTTACAACAAAAAGCTTGTACATAAATGTACAAAATACCATGCAACAGTCAGTGAACACAAAATCCTACGCAGGTATAAATGAAGATAAGTTTGATGCTTCCTTGAAATACAAGGAATCAACTGCAGACTTGCAAACTATGCTCTCATATTTCCGGTGATTGCATCTACTTCTGAGCAGATGGTGCCAATTTCTGTTTCGCAACTTAAGAGCAGCAGCTGGCTAGTCTGCCTTGCAGCAATATTTTGCCTTTGGTTCTAAAGGCAGAGAGATGGAAGCTGACAGCACAAATACCTACAGATCACACCTGTGACATAAGCAAAGCACCCAATCCATAGCCAGCATATCAGAATTACCTTAGACATAACTCCGTCACTAAGTCTTACATTAAAAGCCTGCTTACATTTTCATAGTCCTTCATGGTCCGAGCTCTGATTGGTGAGACTGTGTCTTCTGCCACATCTGGTAAACCTGGACATTGAAGAGACAGAATGAGTTCAGACAGGGGAATCCAAGATAGGTTTCACTCTGGAAACACTGAGTTTTAGTATTACCTTCCAGTCACAGTCAGGATTTCTTTCTGCTCCCAATACCTGGTCTATCTCTGAATTTTGAACTTTTAAATCAAGAGGTACATCAAAGTTAAGCTGTACAAGAGGCACTTCTAAACACAAGCCTTCAGAGCATCTGCAACAGGCTTCAGTATCAGAATGAAGTCCTATTAAGCTATTAGAAGTTGGAAACGACCAGCATCAGTATTCCTAAAGCATAATGCCTTCTAAGCACGTATGTATTTAAACTGCTTGCATGCATGCATGTTCTGCAACAACTGTATTTAACAGGGCTGCGTAACCATTCCATTCAAAGCTCCCATGAGAGTAAACTTAATGAAAATAGCAAGAATGTATACAGCTCATAGCACTCGGGTTATCCGAAGTACAAAGAGGCATCTGTGGCCTTAGGCTAACACCCACGTGAATTCAAACACTTCATTGAAGTACATTCAAAGTCATTGTGTAACCAGTCTTTAAAGCATCCCAGGCAATACCAGCAAACTGTTTTTAACTCTTTGACATTGTTAACAATCACAAAACTGCATTCCTCGAGCCCAGGCTGAGCACGGTCACATTATTTGGCAGCAGTAGCATCATTGCTTGCTTCTGGCAGCCAGGAGGTCCTGGTGAGCCTGGCTCCGTCTGCATTCCCCGCTTCTGCGCAACGAGGTGAGCCGGGTTACAGCGCTGGATGCAGGCGGGAACAAAGGCAAATCAGAAACACGCGCCGTAGGCTCGCGGAGCAGAACAAAGAACAGCTTGACCAGCAATTCTTCTCAATGTAACACCTTCCAGCCATTTTATCTCAAAAGAAGCTTTATTCCGTTCCTGCCAGCCAGCCTGAAGGATGCCGAACATAACGACACCTCGTCATTTAGAAAAACAGATCTAACTACAGCTTCTGTTCAGCACAGGGGGAAAGTTCTCAAGGTGGGAGCAGATAAAGCGTGAGGCGCCGAGTCCATCCCTGGCATTCAGACAGAAGGGAGCCGGGCAGCCTCACACACAGGCAGCGCGCAGCGCCCGTCACCTCCCCCAACCCGCCGGGACCCGCAGCCCACGCGCAGCGCCCGCCGCCCCGCCTCACCTCGGCAGCCGGCCGGCTCGAGCTGCGGGCCCTCGCGGGAGATGTCTGGCAGCGCGGAGACACTGCAGAGAAAGCACGGCGCTAAGAAGGCCCGACACGCACCACGGGGGGCGGCGGGCCGGTTCCTCAGCCCGAGCCGGTTACCTCGGCTCCGCGTACCCTGAGAACCGCTCGCCTACCTGCCCTCGAAGCCCACCGGCAGCGTTACGTCTTCCCCTGGTAGAGAATCCATACCGCCCGCAGCCAGCCACGGCTCCGGCGCCTTTGTGCGTAGCTTTGGCGGCTCCGCTGGAATTCAAACGGCCGCAACCGCTTCCGCCATCTTTGCGTCGACGGAGATGAAGCCGCTGAAGGCAGCGCGGAGGAGGGCGGGGGGGGGAAGGGCACAATGGGAACGAAAGGGGAGGCGCCATCTTTGTTGTGGGTACTGGCAGGAGGCGGGCGAGCGGGCGCCATGTTGGTCGAGGGCAGAGCGGGGCGGTGACTGCCAGCTGGGCGCGAGAGGAGAGCGGTAGGCGCCATCTTGAGTGAGGGAAGAAGCAGCGACGGACAGAGCCGCCATCTTTTTAAAGCAGACAGAGAGGCGGTGACCGCGGGCCGTCGTCTTTACTGAGGTCACAGCGTCAGACTTTGAGAGTGAAATACTTGAGTTTGACGACAAAGTTCCAGTCACGGGCAGAGCGTAGTCACGCAGAGGGCCGGCCTTGCTTTGCTTCACACACCTACCTCAGCGTTTCAGACTGTGGCACTGACGTATCTCTGTGACATTCTAAACTTGAGTCAGAGCACTGGGATTTTCCCAGTGAGAAAGGGATATTTCTGCAGCTGCTGGCCCAGGGGAGTGGGGAAATCCAGACAGCGAGCACTTTTCTTCGTGGCACTGTAACATAAGGACACTCTGTGGGGTGGGACACACACCGCTCTCCCCTCAGGATCAGCAACAGCGTTTGGTTTCCTCGGCTCTTTCAAGTGTGTCACGTTTCTCTCAGTCACCATCCAGGCTGCCTCAGGGGAATTCTCACCTGGCTGGGAAATAGGCCAACGGTGGGGCTGGCACAGACTGTGGGCTGTGATGATTAGCTTTATGTTCTCGGCATATCTCCCTGCAGCTGTTGCTCTCTGTTTGGAGCAGGTGAATGCTGTCAGCCTGGGTGTGCCCCAGTCCCAGCCCCTATCACCCAGTCCCTGCTTCTATCACTCTTCCCTGGATGCACGAGTGCACGTGGGGCAGCTGTCGGTGCTCCTAACAGCAAGGAAATGCATGCTTGGTACAGCTAAGCTCTTAATCTTATCTCCTTTCCAGTAAGCTATGCCTGATGTTTTGCACTTGGGCTCCAAGGGTCCTAAGATATGCTCTGTCCCTTCAACTCCCTCACTGCCTTCCAGAAACATTTGTCACCTCATGTGACCGGCTCCCCCTTTTTGCAGTGGCCTCACCTTCTGTCCTGCTGAAGTTCACTGTGCAAACCAGGTCTTACACATGGCACCAAGATCACTTCATCCCGACTGCAGTGTGCCTGCACATCCTTACAATGCAGAAATGAGTGTTCACTTCATAAAATGAGTGAATATTTACTTAGAATACCAGTGTGGTGTTGGTTAAGGTTACAGTAGGATATTATATATTTGATGCATGCCATTAAGTCACCATCCATCAGCCACAAAGGTGAGACTGCAGAGTCCCAGCATATTCCTTCATGAAAGAAAGTCAGAAGGGCCCTCCTCATCAACACTTCATGAAATGACTGATGGACAACAGCATATGGACAGAGATGTACACAAATACATATGCAGATGTGATGGAAAACTCCCCTGGGTTACTGCACTGCCCAAAGCTTTAAAATCTGCAACTGCAAGAGGCAAGGAAGGTAAACGTATTGCCTGAAAGCCATTAACAACTTCTGGTAATCTTCTTAATGTTATTTAACCTTATCTTAATTAGCAGTACATTTGGGGAGATTATGGAAAATCCTTGTACCAGCAAGCCAGGCTGGAGTGGTGTTCTCCTACTTCAGAAGCCAGTCTGAGATTCTTACTGCTCCAGAAACAAAGTGCTAAAGGGAGTTTAAGAAATACATACTTATGGACAGTGCAATGGAATGATCTATGAACAGGTTGCCCAAAGAATTGTGGATGCCCCATCCCTGGAGGAGTTCAAAACCAGGCTGGATGGGGTCCTGGGCAGCCTGGTCTGTTAGGAGGCAACCAGTCCACAGCAGAGGGTCAGAACTGGATGATATTTAAAGTCTCTTCCAATCTGAGCCATTCTATGATTCTATGTTGACCACAAAGTCTGAGGGAGCAAGGTGACAACCTGCTGCTCAGTGCAGAAGCACGGTGCTGGCACAAGGATGGATGTCACCATCAGCTGAACCTGGGTTGCTTGCTGTCCTCAAGTCTTGGCACTGGCAACCTAGTTCAGCATTCAGTTTTGCTCACTCCTGAGCAAAATTCCTCCTCAGCTAAGTCATGCAGAATCAAACTGTTCTGCTAATGCAAATCAGGTCTCAATAAACTCCCTGGAATTTCACTAGTGTGGCCCTTGCTTTTATAGCTCTGGCTCAGTTAAGCATTTGAATGAACACATAGTTCTTAAGTTCACTCAATTGATGCTGGCTCACCTCTCTTCAGGTTCTTTGCTTAATAGGAGTCAAAGAGTTAGACATAACGTTCCAGGCATGAAGGCAAAACTAGCCTTTAGCATTTGTATTTACACCAAGCAGATAATACTGACAAGTGAGAAAGAAGTGCAAGTTTATCAGAAGTCCTTTTGCAGACATGGCCAAAAAAATGTCCAACACTGCTGATGCCACAGATGTGGATTTCAGAGTGTGTTATAACCTTAAATTTTCTTTGGAAGACCCATTGTGCTCACAAAGAAAAAATACGATACAATATCCTCTTCTAATTTCTTTGCTCTGAAGGTTTCATTTTTAATGACTGCATAGATCTCTGACAAAATATGTCTATGTGAACATCACATTAAATGATGGGGAAATAAGGGCTGGCTGTCCAGCTACCAAGCACACAAATGAAAGCTGAAAGCTGGGATGGTTAATAAGCAGACACAACAGATCACAGGGCTCATTTTTTAGATGGATTATCTGACACAGTGTCAGCTGGACTAATGAATATCTGATGTTAAAAAACATTTTTAGGCCACAGTTCTCATCTCACATACAGCAGTATAATAAAGGAATAATTCTCTTGGAATAAATGCCATTACTGGGATGAGATCAGATTCATTCCTTTAGGTTTCAAGCCAGCTTTGATTGGTATCTGTACAAAGACTCCTGCTGAACTCAAATGAACAAAAAACAAATGCAAAAATCCAAGTGGCATAGATACAAATTATATACATTTATTTTTATTCATTTTAAATAACATTCTTCTGTATAAATTCTGACATATATTCAAATCATACACTTTTTTTTTTCCCTAGAAATGCATTTGTAAGCATAGCATATGCTTAGGAGACGCCTTATTTGGATGTGTAGTAAGACTGATGGGTTTCAGTTGGGAGCAAGTACAAGGCCCACATTTTTCTGATTTTAATCCATTCCTCTGACACACAAAGAACAGAATCCTGTGGGAGCTCATTTCAAAACTTCATTTTAACAAGAAATGTATTTTTAGGATACAATCTTAAATCCATTACTTAAAGGAGACTGTGCAAATTATCTGCCACATTTACATTGCATTTAACATTTATGATAAGACACTGTATAGCAGTGGTTAACTGGCCCAGGATACCTGAAGGATGCTGAATACATCCTCTTCTCTTTCGAAAAAAGACATCCAGTGTGCTAAGTTTGCTCAGCCTGGTCCAAGGGAATTATCATTCCAATGGATGACATCTCCTGACAGCTCCCCAGGGCTACTGCTCCACGCAGTTATTTCTAGCTGCAGTGGTTCCTAAGATTTAAGATCATCTACTCATATTAACCCAATCATACTTTTGCACTTTGCTTACCAAATACTCTCCTAAATTGTGAGCCAGCCAGGCTGCCCCATGCCTTTGACACATCATTGCTTTTTGCCCTTTATCTGCTCCATTATATCCTCTTGCCTTCAGTTATTTGTGGAACTGAACTCACCCCATTCAGACCAGCTGGATCCACAGAGCCTCACAACCCCGAGGATCGTGCCTGCACAGCTGGCTTCCCACCCCTACTCACCTCATCGTACCTTTGCTGTGTTCTCCAGCTACTTTACCATCCCACCACTGCCTTTCCACACAGTGGTCACAGCCAGACAGTGGTATGGTCCATTAGAATTGAAAGCTCTGGGTATCTGTATTGCTACATCAGCCCTACAAGTCATCTAGATGCCTTTGCCTTTTCCTGACAGACACTGAGTTGGGCCCCAGTGCAGCCCTGTAAGTCCATTCTGGCCAATCTACCCATGGCATTTGCAAACCTCAGCATCTGAGAAGCTTTGAGACAAGTTATGACATAGGGCAGGCTGGTGTTCCTAGTGGCCTTTCATACCCTGGCACAGGTGTTCTGGCTCTACACTCCATCCACAAGTGATGCCAACCCAAGCTGACTGGAGATGTAACTTGCTTCACCTTCCACAGTGCCTGAGGGGTGACTGCATGACTGACGGAGGCAGCAAGAAGAACCTAATCTCAGATCAAACCCAAACATGAAGCTGTTTATTCTTTCTTTTCTGGGGTTTCCCTTTATAAATATAATTCCTCCACACCAAAGTTCTGGCTGGCTGGAGATGGCTGCTCCACCCTGCTGAGTCAGCTTGCAATCTGACAAGCACTGTCCCACTGCCACATCCTTTCTGTGCTTTCTTCTGCTGTCCAAACCTGGGCAGCCAGGCCCCACCTCAGCCATTCTTCTCATCACAACTGCAGAGGCCATCTAGATCCCTTTGTCCAGATGTACAACCCCCACACACCATGGCTGCATCACCCTCCTTTGCATAAGGCATCCTGACCTCCTCATCTTTTCAATCTCAGGGCTAAAACAAAAAGCTCTTAAGAGTTCTGGAGGCCAGAAGCAACCCAGACACAAACACCTGCCTTTGCAGTGTATGGGATGGGAGGGCTCAGCACCTGAACTCATGCTCTGGTTCACCAGATGGTTGGTATTTTTACAGCCAGAGAAAAATTAAACCCTATTCCAGGTACAAGGTAGCCTACTGTCTTATCAAATCTGGGGAAGAGGTGTTTTGTGGCAAAGAGGATAACATCTACTAAAATGTTCTGGAAACATTAGAGTGAACAACCCATCCTTCACTTTGCCTGCTAGCATTAGTCCCAGAAGCTAACAGTTCCTAAATTACCTTTCCCCAACCTATGAAGTGACCAAGTGCAAGCGTATCACAAAATGAGCATTGTCAAATAATTACAATTTTTAGGAAATTCTCTATTTGTCACCACTCTGCTCTTTAAAAGCTGGAAGAATAACTCAAGGATTAGCAATATCCACATTTTCTCCTCTGTTCCTCCCCCATTTTATAACTAAATGTAGCATTGCTCGAACTTCAGCCCAATTTACAGAACTACAGAACCTCACTCAGGCCCATAGCAGGCAGCAGGATCTCTTCCACATTCCTCTATGCAATACCACATTCTCCTCTCACCATTTCTTGCCATCCTCTTGGCTATTCTTCCTCGCTGTGCCTCACCTTTAAATCAAGCAACAAGCTTTTGAAGCAGAAATGGCATCTTTGTGCTTGTGTTTAAAGCACCTATTCCCTACTCCCCCAAAAGTCTCCAAAGATAAGAAAAGCCTCCATGCAGCAAATAAATAATCACCACATTCTTCCTACCATTTCTCACACTGAGAAATATTTACTTTGCCCGGCTCTGAGGATGCATCAGCCAGCTCCTGCTGACCCTTAGCAGGTACTTCATTCCTCCTCAGCACCAACACGTACAGTGATGCAGCTTTGTTTTGCAGGTCGCCTGTGAGTTGGGTGTAATATCTGTGCATATCCAGCAGCACGCTATTGATTTACATGGGGCTGTCCAGCACTACCAGCAAGGTGCCCCATGGCACGACTTCCCCAAGCTGTGCTGCCCATTTGTTGTTCTCTCTGTCTGCCAGGCCCACTGAAAACTCAGGGGAACCCATAAAACCTTGTAGAATTCTAGACAGCTGATTCTCCTCCACCACCTTGTGCTACATGAATTTCCTGAAAGCACTCGTGCACGTTCAGCTTTTAAGGCCAGAAGTGCAATTCGGTTTCTGCGAGTATTGTGACTGAAAGCCATTTCCACCCAAATCCAGGCAAGTTTTGCCTTCATCCTTTAAGAGAAGCCAGCAGGCTGCACCCAGCCATAGACATCACTGTGTCCAACGGGAGGAACAGCACCGAGATCCCAAACGTGAGGAGCTTCAGGAAAGCTCAGTCATTGAGAGCCAGTGTATTTGCATCTTGTACAGAGACTTAAAAAGAAGTAACAAAAAGGTACATCTGCCAGCTGGACACCTCCAGGCTTTACTCGTGGCAACGCTGGCTATTCACTCTGTATTTAAAGGAATAGGGAAATTTGACAGATGCAAGTAGGGAGCACTCACATTTTCTCTAAAAAACAAAGTTATTCGATGACACACTAGAAGAAAAGCTTTAAGCAGTGGGTGTTTGCCAGAGTCCCAGCTCTGACAATATTGCCATCTAATTTACAGTATTTTAAACAACCTCTTTTTTTTTCTTTTTTTTCTTTTTAAACAATGCCACTAACCACTGTACAATTAAAATCTAGATGATAAAATATGACTGGGGAACAGAGGAGGTTGGGGAGGGGTCCACTTTGGGTTGGCTTTTTTGGTTGTTTGTCTTTTTTTTACAAATAATTACAAATACAGCTCCAAGAAGATATATTACATTTTATATACAGAACACACCATTGCTATCAGGGTAGGGTATTAAGCCTAGCTTTTATTTGTACACAGCAACCCTGAGATGTCTTGTCGTCTTCCCTTGCACAGAAACTATACAAGTTCATTAACCTCTTCTAGAAAAAAAAAAAAAAAAGTGGATTGCTATGTTTTAATAGCATCATCACCCTGTATAAATACTCAGAAAGGGAAAAGCTTACTCTCCTCCCTAACTCCAATATCTTTGTGATATTTTTTCCTGTTTCCCAGCTTTGTGGAAACTGTTAATGGTGACTTTTGTTCAAGTGTGCAACTCACTCCTCTACTTGCTTGGTAGTACAATAAAGAATCATTTCCCATTTTTTGTCCTCCTTTTCAAGCAAATTCACATCAGGAAGTAATACAAAGCCTTTACAAAGGTCTGTTTCCTGAAAATCCACTGTTAATCCGTAAGCTACTTTTCAAGCTAAAGATGCAGGCATAAGTGTTAGGTTGGCTGGAAACAGAGTAGCTTCTGATTAATGGGGCATTGCTTTCACTGCCCCATCACCTCTACATAAAAAGGATATTTTAAGATCAGCATAATCGAGTCTTGTACCGACAGTGAATTATGTGGGTCCTTACGGAGAACAACACACTGAATGCATTTCACCACGTTACCTGACGTTTGGGCACTACAGCTTCCTCCTGTTCACCTGCAAGCTACAGCATGCCCAGCTAAGAGTATCTGAAGAGCAAATTCCTCTGCACCGAGCCTTGGCACGGATCCTGATACCCCTTCAACAAGCTCTGTAACTTCTTGAAGCCAACTCTGGAACAGCTGGATTGCTTCCTCTTCTAAGCTTTAAAATTGTGCATGGGAGTCGTCAGCGTCAGCTGTCCGTTCGGTGCCACTTCATTGCCATCATCTTCCAGCAGCCCTGAAACATCAGCGTTGGGGATGCTGTCGTGGTAGCTGCTGAAGCTGATGTTGTCCTCTTTGAGTTCAATGGTCCAAAAAGGAGCATTAAGTTTTCTGTTCTGATACTCACGGTACATGTAGACAGCACCCACAAAGCCCATTAGTAGGACCACGACAATGATGATGACTGTCAAAATAATTATATTAAACTGAGTCCAAGAAACATCTGCAAAAGCAGAGGTACTATTGTCAGAGGAACTTAAAGGGAATATAGTCTGTATAGTTGTTGGTGACAACGTACTGTTTGTCACTGCAGTTGGAAGTGATGTTGCCTTGCTAGTGTTCGGAGCAGGACTTATAAACTCTGTTATTTCTGGGCCAAGAGTGGCTTCTACAAAACAAAAAAAAATAGAGATGCAGTCAATAAAGAAACATGATAAACTGCCATCAAACACACTCATGTAACAGTTATTATGTCAATCAAATCTACACTGCTAAAGCTGGATGTTTTGCAAAATAGCTCACAAAAAAGGTTAGCCAGGGATTTTTAAAGTAAATCTGTGTGCTAAGTGCTCCCTGACGGCAGAGATCCTGTGAAAATCCGGTGATGGACAGCTGAGTTTACTACCCAAAGACAGATCACAAGTGCACTAACCAAGATTCAATGCTAGATACGTGACCTCGTGATGAAAGTAAGCCACCTGGTCCAGCTCATGCTTAGCACATGGAGATGGGACTCCAGCAGGCACAGCAAGAATTTGTGCTTCGGCCCAACAAAGGCAGAGCCTCACTGGAGCAACGGGGCTGGCATAGCACTGTGCACCTTACACAGAACACTACAGGCAGGATTTATGTTTGTCTTACCTGTGCAAGATCAAGAGAAAACTGACCCATCAGTATTCTGCTGTCACAGTGCTCAGTACTGGGTTCCAATCCAGTTACATTGTAATATGTAAAAGGACAAAACGATCCCGGTTCTGCTTTCAAATGAAGTCATACACAAACCTCAGGAACCCCTGAGCTGACAGAAAGCAGAGGGTAGCTGAACTGCAACTAAAGAATGCTTTGGATGCTCTCCTGAAGCCTGTAAACACATGGGAAGCCAGCCCAAATCCTGTTTTAGTCTCTGCTGCAGGCACATGTCCACACGCCGAGGACAAAACCACGGGGACAAGCAGAGGGCCTTTCCAACACCACCCTCCTCAGCAGCCTCAGACACAGGCAGCCAAGGAGCTGCCCTCCCTGCAGGATTAGCTCCCTGCCCAGAGCTGAGGCAGCCTGAAGGGAACGCTGGAGATCTCCGAGGTGAGAAAACACAATGGTTAAGCCTCAGAAAGCACCATAAGAACCTGAGTATCTTTTAAAATGTGATTATAATGAAGTATTTCCTTCACAGGAGTAACCTTTGAATCTATTTTAGACTCTTAAGTAAAAGCAGTAAGAACCTTCCAGAAGCTGAAACCTCAATCAGTCAAAATGTACTCAACACCCATTGTTCCACAGGACTCTCTGCACCCTCTTTTCTCTTCCTTTTCCATTTCTGCTATCAGAAACACAACCTCATCTGAAACCCACGAACAACTGTGGCAATTACAGCTCAAGGTGCTGTGCTGTATTGATTCAGCTCTCCTGGAGAGTCTAATGATGACTGAGGAGAGGAGCCACTTCTGAAAGAGTTATTTTGCAGAGTTGCATCTCCAGTGGCAACAGGAGCTGCTCGTATTGAGCATGTCTCCAGCCATGGGCCCTCAGAGGGACTCCCAGGAGTTAAATTCGGGCTGATGAATTCCCAGGTCAGGAATGAGAAAGAAATTCCTCTCGAAGAGGCAGCATGAACCTGCTTTGAGTCCTCCCTGCAGCAGCTTCTCTTTTCACTGCAGGTGCTGCATTAGGTTGATAAGGATGCTGGGTGACAGAAAGCACTTCTCCATGGGTTAATGGGCAGAATCTAGTAATAATAGGAAGGAACATTACGGGAGCAAGAGATTCCTGGATACAGCTTTGGCAGAAGGGCATGAGGAATTCAGTCATTCTTTCCAAATTCCTTCATCAATACTTAATTCTTGGCAAATCCGGACAGTAGCTATAATTAGCAAAAACAGAACTGAGACAATGGCTGATTCACCAGCAAGGAAACAGGACTTTTCAGGGCCTTATATGTGAGTCAGCACCAGCTAAGTGCTGGCAAGGGTGTCCCGGGTGAAAACATATCCTGGAACTGATGACAACATCACAGGAAACAGTGCCATGCTCTGACAGCGGACTGCAGCTTCTGAGCCACAACAAGGGTGCTTGTTTCTGCTCGGCAAGGCCGTGCCAGCCCTCCAGATGTCCTAGGCCTGCTCCTTGAGAGCAGCAGCTGTTCAGTCAATGGGCAGCTTTGGCAGCTTCATCATGAGCGTCATATCCAGCTGCTCTGCTCACCCACAACTTCTGCAAAGCTGCCACTAACTCGTGGCATGAGTGCTCCAGGGAGCCGGGGCCGTGCCTGCAGCACCTAAGGCAGACAGGGATGCTCTGCAGGATGGCATCCCCAGTTTTGGCTTCTGCTCCCTGTTGCACCCCATCACTGCATCAGGATCAGCAGCCATCTGGGGATTCAAACCCTCTACTTTGGTCATCCCATGTGACTCTTGACTGCTCTCGCAAGCTGCTGCTAAAGCATCACACCTGGTAAGGTTTATGAATGGTCCATGTGGAAAAATGAGGTTGGTTTTAGCCTTGTCCAGGGAGTGCAAAGTGTGTTGTCCTATCAACTCTGATGGCTTAGGAGAGCCTCAGAGCCCAACAATTTCATCTGCAGATCTGGTGAGGATTTCACTCCAGAAGCCACTCCAAACTAGGTCACTCAAACACACTGGTGGTTTGTGAAAATGTCATTCTAAACTAGTTAATGCACAGTACCACAGCAAGTCAGTCTTTAAACAAGTGAAAGAAACTGTCAGAAAGAGAAAAAGCAGGTGTCAAGGAAACAGGAAAGCTAGATGAACATGTCTCTGTCCCTCTGAACAGAGACAATCTTCTCCCACATCAGGAACTGACTTAACAATGTCCTTAAAATAAAACGAATTGCAGTGAAAGCTGCAAGTATACAAGCAAAATCATGCATATTTTAATGGAGCAAGGTCACGTAGTTCTTTATATGATGGCAGAGCTGTGCAGAGTGAGATGATGGATGACCCAATGCAAAACTGTCATTTCCTGCCCTGCATCTGCAAAGTTAGAGCTAATGAGCATTCAACTTTCTTTGTATTGATCATCTCCCTGCACAGAGGGCTCAGTGATTGCACCTCCAGAGACCAGCACGGGAGTAAAAACCACATTAGCTCCTAATGGAAGATCTGGATTAAATCTCTGTTGGTGACAGGGATGAATTTGGGTCCACGTACACTTCCTGAACAATGGGTTCTCTTACCTAACACAAGAGTGCTGGAATTGTGTCTATGCATGGAGCTGGAGGTCCACCTTGAGGAACAATGATATCCTAATATCCACTGAACTGGTAGTGTAAGAACTACCTTCTGTGATTTTACTCTGAATTTCACTATGCACTAGCTTTTCTAAGTACCAGAGCCAGCTTGCACCTGAGGATGCTACATGCAGCACTTCAGATGACAATGAAGATAGATGAGAGACCCCAGAGCAAGCACCACTAAGTTCTGGCATTCACTTGCTGCATAAGCCTGGCTCTCACCTCTCAGGGCAGATTCAGCTTCCCCATTTGCAAAGCCAAAATAAGAATGTCTAGATTAGTTCTGAGTCATTATTTGCACAGTATCAGGGGTGACAGAAGTTATTATGAATGCTCTTTGCATGGAACTAAACAGTGCACTAAAATGGATTGGTCAAACGGGGGCCCTGGGCAGCCTGATGGTGGGCAATCCTGTTCATGGCAGGGGAATGAGTCTGATGGTCTTTAGAGGTCCCTTCCAACCCAAATCATTCTGTGAGTCTACAACCTGGAAATTCATTGGGCACTAGGAACTCAAATACATCAAGCAACAGAAGCCTGAAAATCTACATTTCAATACACTGCAAGTAGATTTCTTCTCAGCACACTGTCGACCTGTGTGGGAAACTCAAGATATCTGCAGAACACTGAGGGCAAGCAGTGCATCAGGTGCATCCATTGCTGCTGCTCGTTTCAGTATTGGCTGCATTGAGCTTCTGGTAGTGGAGGGCAAAACTTCCCAAGGAAGTCTTCCCCGTGCCCCACGATGAGCCTTTTGGAGGCATGGGGTTCATTGTTTTCCCTGGAAGACTTCAAAGCCTCTTCCTCCTCAGTCCAAACCCACCCCATGAGCAATTACCAGCCTCCAGGCAGCTCATGCACATCTGGTACACAGCGGGCTCCAGCCCCGAGCCCAGGAGCACATTTTACCTTTCCTGGTGCAGTTGATTCCCTCGGGGTCCCTGACGTAGCCGTCCTCACACTCGTGGCAGTGGAAGCCAGCAGTGTGGTACAGGCACCCGATGCACTCGCCACTCTCTGGTTTGCAGATGCTGGGGGACAGCGTGGGGTCCACGTTCCCATTGCACTGGCACCTGACACAGATGCTGTCGGAGTTGTAGTAGCCGTCGGCACACTGGTTGCAGTTGGGGCCAGTGTAACCAACTTTGCATTTGTCACATGTTGGGGCAGCTTCACCAGGCTCTGCAGAATACAGAAAGCAGAAGAGCTGTGTGCCATAGCCCCTCTTTGTGGGGTTTGTTCTGTGGGACTGTGAACAACTAAGACAAACATCAGTGGCCACTGACTGTTAATCAATCTCAAATTTTAAGCTATAAATATAATTATTTAACTGCAGCATTTTCTGTTTCTGGGGAGAATAAAAAGCTTTATGGGGTTCTGATGCCTCGTACCAGCATCACAGAGCACGCTCAGCAGGTTGCTAAGCAAACATGCCTGCTCCCAAATGTCTCCATCTCAAGCAGCCAGTTTCAGGAAACAGCTGGATGGAGGCTGCCAGCAATCTGCAGCAACCTGGTGGCACTGCTTCCAGCAAGATGCCCTGGTCCCAGCACAGGGAGACCCAGCGGCTACACGTCGGCCCCATGGCTGTTGCACACTGAGCAGCAGTTTAACTGAAACACATTGAGAAGAGCTCAGACCAAGAGGAATCAGACCAAAAGGAGAGCCTTACGGATCTGGCAGGTGCCGGTCGATGCCACAGTGGAGCAGGGGCAGCGGTGGCAGCTGTGGGTGCTCCTGTAGAAGCCACTCCTGCAGAGCTCACAGTGCTTCCCCTCCGTGTTGTCCTGGCAGTGCAGGCAGGTGCCTGGGGAAAGAGCACAGCAGCCAGTTGGCAGCAGAACTGGAGCAGAGCATTTGGAGCATGAACCCACGTGGTGTGCTTGCAATTAGCAGAGCTCACAGGTGATTCAGGATGTCCTCCAGCCAAAATACAATCCTGGGACTTGCCTTGGACTCTTATGACCTTTAGACAGTGTTCCACACACTCAGATAATGTGAAAAAGTAGGTAGCCCCAACAAAGGTGCCCGTAACTCAAAGTCAAGGCAGGTAAACACATGCTATCAATATTAAATATTTCCCAACAGAAGGGGTTTGGAGCAGTATCTGTGACAGCAAGCCAGTATGGCAATACTTAAACCCCCACTTTTGCAAGGGGATTTCCCTCCAGCTTATGCCTTTGTTCCTTTTTGTGTTCCCATACTACAGAGCTGATAAACAAGTGCCACTGCACTGCTGTGGGGGCCAACAGCTACATCCCACCTGTGTGGATCCAGCTTCCCCCATTCCTAGCACAGGAGGAACATTTGTCAGGGGCACAAGCCAGCAGCAATCTGTGACCTTCCTGCGGGGACAGAGGAGACCTGCCTGGGGAAGCCCCTGAATCAGAAAACTGACAAGCTGTGTCTCATGAAGGCTGTGTCCTAATGGCCCTCTAAATTGCATTTTGATATTATTGTGAACAGGGAAAGAAAAATCAACCACAACCATCCATCAACAGGAACATCCTGTAATTCAGCAGGCTCCTCTTGGAGGTGGTGGTGACCTGAGGGATGCTTATTTGATTAAATCCCCTGCACAAGAATCTAAAAATGCATCAGCCTCCTTGCAACAACCCAAGCTAGCACTGCACATCCACTGCATTTCTGAGCACTGACAGGAGGTTCCCCAAGCTACACCAGCAGCGCTGCTCCTATCGATGCTAACCACATCTAATATGCTGAACTGGTTTCATGCTGACTATTAACATAACCACAGCAGATCTTCTCATTAATTTTGAAGCAGTTTGGCTCCCATGCAAGCCCACCGCATGGCTCCTGCTTCTCTCCTTGCACAGCGATGACTTCGCAGCAGAGCAACCCAAGCCCAGCACCAAGGAGACAAAGCAAACCCTGGTTAGCTGCTGAATTGGAGAAGTGGCTGATTCACCCACAGCAGTGCTGACAGCACCCTAGTAAGCCAGGATGCTTGCTCGGCATCAGCTCCCACACACTGTTTGCTCTGCTCCCGGCTGCCTGCCAGATACGAGCTGGTGGCTTTTGTGGGAGAGGTGCGGAGTTAGAGGGGAAATCACCTCCTGCTTTCTGTTCCCACAGCTGCAGCCCTCAGTCAGCTGCTCTGCCAGGCTGCCCTGTGCAAAGCCACTGCTGGAAAGCCAGTATGCTCCATCAGCACCGAGGGTGCCTTGAACTGTGCTCTGCAGGCTTCAGTGGGGCATAAATCTGGGCTCACACCTGCGTGCTCTGTACAGCTATGGTCATTTCAAGCCCAGTGTCTTTCCTGCCTGTGGAAATTACCAGCATTTATCTGCCCTGTGAAATGGCTGCACTTCCAATGAGTCAGCAGGTTGCTCAGCCGTGCACAGCAATCGAGTATCAATGTTGGAAAGCCTTAATAATTAATAGCTCTTCCCACCCTGATGACACCCTGGGGACGGCTCAGGGCTGGCTGTACCCCAGCTGGATACAACTGAAGCCGCACAGCCCCAACACCGTGCATGAGGGTCACAGCGGAGGAAGCGAGGCCACGTGGGGACTTCTGGCTGCCCAATTTCCAGCCCAGTAATTCTAAATATTCCTCCTGGGCAGAGCTGAGCTGAGACAGGCTGTGAGGAGCCGGCAGGGGGAGCCCAAAGGACAGCATTAGTGCGGAAAAAAGCCTTGAAAATTTGACAAAGACTGCACACAGTTGATGTGAAGCTGGGGAGGTCACACAAAGTGCAGTCTCTAGTGCAGGCTGAGAGCACTGTGTTACTTGTTAGACGTCGGAGCTCATTTTTATCGACTGTTCTCTGTTCTGGTTTTGTTGGGTTCCCCCATCTCCGGCAGCAAATAAAGCAGATGGAGGAAAAGGGAGGGGAAAAAAAAAAAAGGATTTTTGTCAAATCAACAATAGCTCATTAACTGAAATGAGGGCTTTTCTTTGCAGAGCTGCAGAGGCCAGGGCTGTAAACTGGGGTTTGAATCGAGAGAGAGGGATCATCGTGGGAGAAGAAGGTAGAGCAGATTATCTCACTCCTTCACAAAACCCACACAGCCAGCTCCAAATCAGCATCAGAGCTGAAGTGTGCACAGCTTTCATATCCTGCAATATCAAGAGGACGTAAAATCATGCTTGAAGTTCAGAGTAGGAATGAATGAATTCAATTCTGAGGAGTGCAGACCTGGAACATGCCCACGGAAGCAGGAGGAGGGCAGGAGCAGGTGCCAAAACTGCCCCAGATCACCACATTGATAAGCCCTGCCTCTCTGTGTGAGCTATTTAAAAAAGGGCAGCATTTCTGAAATGACTGCTCCTTGATAAGCTCCTGGATAAATATTACAGAATCACATTGCAATCTGGAAGATCTGATGAGAATGTGAATGTTACAGGGTGAACGCTGTTGCTACGTGGGGACTGTGCTGTCTGCACAGAGCTGCTCCTCCAGGAGCCCTCCTTGCAGCCGGGAGGAGAAACAGCTCAGCCTCCCCCTGCCCTCCCATACACCACCCAAGCACAGGTGCCTCAACATTTGCACCCCATCAGCATCCATATGCACAAGAGACAGCAAAGGGACGATCAAGAAAAACAAACGAGGCAAATTCACAAGAAGCAGGCAATAGTAATTAGACGTGGCCAGTTTTTTTCCCAGCGCTAATTACATAATCTGTGGCAATACCAGTCACCTTACATCACTGCCAGCACAGTGTATGTTTCCAGGTAAACAGCATTGAAACAAAAGCTCCTTAAGAGCCCGCGTCGTGTGTTAGAGCAGAACAATGGAGCACTGATTTCCGATAGAGACTGCAGGATAAAGGCTCTGCACTGCAGCCTGGAGCAAATAACCCAGCCTTTATCGGCTTCATTGGGAACAGGACTCCCTCCAGCCCTGCCCTGCGTCTTAATTTCAGCCTCACGGTGATGATCCTGAGCACTCAAAGCACAAAGATGGAGATCAGTAGGGTGAGTGAAAACGGGAAAGGAGACAAAGAGGCAAAGCTTGCAGGCGCGGTGCTCAGCAGGGGAAGGCAGAGTTACCTGTTAGGCGGTCGCAGGTGTTGGAGTGGTTGTTGCACTGGCACGGCTCACAGGTGCTGTTGGCTCTGTAATACCCATCACTGCACCGGTCACACTTCAGGTCTGTCACGCCGACTTTGCACCGGCACTTCCCATCGCTGCATGGAGAGGAGCAAGCAGTGAAATCGTAAGATCACAAAAAGAGACCTTTAAAGGCCATCGGGTCCGACTCCTTCCAATGAACAGGGGTGCTCAGGTTGGTCCCCTGCAGGAGAAGGGATCAGTGCAGGCACCACAACTCACAGAGCACCCCTGGGCAGCACGGGATGCAGCTCCTTCTCACCACCCCTTCCTTCCCCAGCATTTAGCATTGCCTGCATCCCATTGTTCTCCCTCACTCCTCCTGTGGAAGCCGAGCACCGTGCTATTTGCTTCTGAAAGCCCCCAGAAAAATCCGTTGATTCCAACTAATCGAGGCACCAAACAGCTCGATGTGTTGCTTTTAATTAAAACACATTGTGATGTTCTGGGAAGACGTTGCTTCTGTTAGAAATGAACATGATTTTGTATTTCTGTTCTTCGCTCTCTTGCTAAAGGAAAAGGAAGCACTCCAAGGCACACCAAAATGCAGCAGTCAGCCCGGGAGGCTGCACAATTAAACACTTGCAGAATACTAAATTTCAGGCATATTTAATGGACAGATTACAAGCAGGCAGAAGCAACGCGATGTTTCCTGGCTCTTCAGACCATTATCCAGAATTGGAGCGGGCAGATGCGGAATTCAAAGGGATGATGCTGTGAAGCAGCTCCGACTGTTTGACTTTTAAAAAGCTTTTCACAAGACCTGACATTAATCCAAACGTTGTCACAGTGTTTACAACGAGAGCAAACAGAAAGCAGCTTGTTTTTATTTGCTTCTGGCCACCGCTGGGCAGATATTCCTGTAAGAGGGCAGGGGATGGGCAGAGCCAAGCAGGGAAAAACAACAGCATGGGGATTTCCCAGAGTGCAGAGTCCCATATTATTGCCCCTTGTCCCATCCATGATCATGCCTGTATTTACTGACATCCTCCTGCACCTTTCCTCAGACTCCCACGTTTTTAAAGGTTTATTTCCCCACCAACTCCACTCAATGGAGCATTTTGGGGCAACGTCCCTTGATTTTACTTGTGAGCTTAAGAATAACAGGAAAGAAAGGTATTTTTATTTTAAAAGGTTTTGGAAAGTTTAATTTTAATGGCTCTCAAGCAGACCTTTTCTCAACATGTTACATATGGCACAGAGCCAGGTTCTGCATGTGCAAGAATTAAATCACTCAGCAAATATAAAGCTTTCCCTGTGGTCATTGCTTCCACAGAATAAAGCCCCCTTACAACACTCCTTTTCACAGCCCCAGCCCAGTAAGGGCTGTCAGACACTTTTTAAAGCAAAGGTCAATGATATAAATGCGTCGAAACCACAAAAAAAGTCCTGTTAACAGACCGAGTGCACCCATAAAAATCCAGCAACTTGAAAGAAAAGGGCCACAGTTTAATACTTGCACAGTGAGAACGGAGCTGCATTTTGAGCCAACGCCAGGAATTTCATTTTTGGGGGATGTGGGGGAAAGGAGGGGGAAGGGAGGAAACATTTTGATGCAGCGACATCAATTGCTCAACTCTATTTCGGAGATTAACTCCACCAAAGCCAACCAGCTTGTCGCTCTTGACAAACAAGTGATGCAGAGATGGGATGGGACAGAACCAGGCCCTAAATCCCAGCATCTCAGTCAGCTTTAACCCTGCCTGGGAGTGCCCTGGGAGCAGGGCACAAAGTCCCACCTCTGTAGCATCTTGTGCTCGGCCTGACGCTGCAGAGCCTCACAGGTAACTCCCAGCCAGGACTTACAGCCAGGGATGCAAACACAGACACAAAGAGCTGTGTGCAAACCCCTCACTGCTCAGCACAGGAACTTGAGGCCTCCTTGCATGGAAAATAAGGAAAGCACAAAAATATCTGTGGTCCAAGAGAAATTGCAGCATGCAGCTGTGATGGGAGCTGTGCTCCTGTACAGAGACCCCTAAAGAGAAGGGACAGACAGACACAAGACGGATGGGCACACGAGCAGCACAGCCTTAGGGCTGTTGGGAGGCACGCTGTGCATGGTTTAATGGTGTAACAGAAAACCCTTAGCAAACTCCAATAGTTTATTTTCTTCTTTCTTTTCTTTCCCAAGGAGAAGGGAAAAATTCATGCTGAACATTTTCCCAGCTGCCAGCAAAACACGGATGCCCAGCTGCCATCAGGAGCCCCAGGGCCAACCAATGTGCCCCAGCCCCAACCTTTTGTGCTTTCATTTTAAAATTTTCTCTTCATATACAAGGCTGGTGAGACTCTGGAGCAGGGTAAGAAGGAGGGCACACCTACGGGCATCAGCACAGGGCACGACGTGTGGGTTTCCCATCTCCCTGCTTGCACACCTGGAACAGGAAAAGCCCCCTTGGGTTTCACCTCCCCTCTCCCCCTGGAAGCCCCAACGCTTTCGTGGAAGTGATGCTCAGCTCTGAGCCGCCTTTGTGGCAGGCAGAAGAAGTGGGGCTTTATGGCACAGAACATTGGGCCTTTGTGCACCGCATTCCTCGCGCTGTGCCGGGGGAGGGCGCCTGGTTAGAGGGCAGCCCTCGATGGAGAGGGACCCTGAAAGGCCGCTCTGTGAGTGTCAAAGGGCCACCTTGTCCAGCCCTGCCACCGCATCCCCCCGCCGGGGACACCCCGCATCCCACCCTGGGAAAGCTGGGGATCTCCACCCCAGCACTGCCTCAGTGCTCAGAGGGAGCTCAGTGGGGAGAGCACAATGCCATTGGATACCAACGCTGCCCTACAGAGTGCAGAACTCAAATGGGCTCAGAACAGGATCCAGCCATGGGGAATGGGCTGCCGCCCATGGTTCTGCACAGCGCAGCCCCTCCATGCCCCAAATCCTCAATGCAGGGAGAGGGAAGGCACAGGGCAGCCTGAAAACCACAATGCAGCCATAACGACCCCAACAGCCATGCTGGTATCTTTGCGAGGGCAGGCAATGCTCATCAGAGCAGCAAGCCTGCAACACACGAACAGCAAAGCCTGTTGGAAAATCAACCAAATAACAGGATTTCTGAGCAGCCCAAATTACTGTAGGGGAGATTATGACAACCTGCCGCTCACTGTTGTGTTCATTCACTCAGTCCTTTCCCTCTTCTTTCTGCACGCCAATACAGATGAGTGCAGGGACAACATCCACCTGCTTGCACAGGAGAACCAATCAGCTGTAAAGCACAGGAGCCGGTAATAGAAGAGATATATGGATAATTAAAGCACACACACACACACAAATCTGCTCTGCCAGGGTATTCTTCCACATTTATGACGTCCACATGTAACAATTTCCGCTATGAAAATGATCTCTTCTTGGCAGAAGGATGCTGACGAGGCATTGCCTGGAGATAATGAGCCACTGCTTGTGCTCGGCTGATCCACAAAGGGAGCACAGTGTTTCAGATATGAAATAGGGAAAAGATGGCTTTTTGGAGACATTGTTTTGGAAGCCATTGAGGAGTTGGGCTCCCAGTGTGGCTTACTGGGCTGCTGGGATACAATGGGATGGCAATGCAGACCCCACCCTAAAAAATGACACTTCTAAGTGAATGACACCGATGACAGAAAACGAGCATTTTCTGCATGCAGAATGAGAACTCCACCATCTTCCCCCCAACAACCCTCTGAGCTGGGATGGGTGGAGACCCTGGGAACAAGGCCAGGGAAGCTCCACAAGTGGCTTTCTACAGATCTGCCTTTTCTAACAAACCCCACATTTCCACCCCACATGGCCTCACACCTCAAGATGCCCAACCTGGTTCCAGCTCCTGCCCTGCCCCAGTGCCTCCCAGCAAAACTAATGCTCCATGTTCACATTTCCCCATGGCCTCACTGCATCCTTCCCCTCCCAAAGAGCTCTGCAAGCCCAGCTCCCCCAGAACCCCCAGGCCTTAGCCAAAGACCTTCACAAAGGGCACTCTGTGGAGCTGCTGCTCCTACCCTCATTGCAGTGCTTCTGTAAATCCATCCAGGTCAGGATCCCACCCAGCCCCTCCAACCAGAGCCCAGCACATAGAGGGCATGCAGGGGGAGGCTGCTCCCTTTCCAGCCTCACCACATCCCTGCTCCAGGGCACAGCCATGTACAAATGCTCTCAGGGATGCTCTGCTTTAATTCTTTTTAATGCAAACACAAAGCATCGGATCCCCTCGAGGGGGGGCAAAACATCTCTGAATTAACACTCTGGCATTTATATGCATGCATTATCTTTTTTTTCTTTTCTTCTCAGAATGGAAGCAAGTGACAGCAGATCTTTGGTACATGCCTTACACCAGCCTGAGGTGTGAAGCATGGCTGCACCAAGACCAGAGCTGCCAGGCTGGCAGTGAGCACAGCAGCATGCAGGCTGCAGCCCAGGGCATGAAGCAAACTGCAGCACATGGACCTCGTGCTTTCCATTGCCCTTCTGCTTGTGGGGAAACTGAGGCACGGGCAGTGGGAGTGAATTATCAAACATTGCAAAGCCTCACTTTAACATATTCCTGTTTTCTTTTGGGACACACAACCACGCTGCACTCTTGTCCCCAAAGTCCCACGTGCGCTTCCCTCCACCAGCAATTTCCCTGAACACAATGATAAGAGACAACTGCATAGAAAGGAGAAATGGGGAACAGAGCCCTGAGCTCTTCTGCAGGGCAGTGCTGTCTCACAGCATCTCTTCATGTCACATCCCAATGCGCAGAGTGTGACAACAGCCACACGGGGCCGCCTGCTCGTGTGCCACCAGGAAGAAAAGCCAGCAGGTGCTGTGTGCCATGCTGTGAATTCCCAGCAAGATGCAAACACCGCTGCACTGTGGGGCTCAGGGACGTGCAGGGCTGCCCGACATTGGCAGGGAAAGACACAAAGTCCTTCGGCACCTCCTCTTTGTGGGCTGCTTCCTGCAGCCTGGAACCCTGCGTTACTCACTGAGTCAGAGGACAGGTTTCCACAGGAAGGCTGTTTCACCATCCTCTGAGATAGCCTCTGCAGCAGGAGGAGGCTCTGACCGCTCCCATCCTGTGCTTTGGGCACGGTTCCCAGCAGGAGCATCACGCCCAGCAAGGCGCAGGATGGGCAGGCAGGCACAGCTCTGCTCTGCAGGTGCCCACCCAGTGGTGCCAGGGGATGTCAGCGCAGCCCTGCTGACAGCAGCACCCAGCCCTGCTGACTCACAGCCTCCAGAGGGGACTCCCAGACAGGGAACTAAAACTAAAAGCGACCTTTGATTAGCAGCTGCGGAGCCCAGGCACGGCGACAGCATGTCAGGTCAATGTTCACTCCCCAGATCAATGACTTGCCTGAGGAAAAGGATTTTTATTTTTTATTTTTATTTGCAGTCTAGTTAATAAACAGCATTTTGGCTGGCCAGATGATGGCACACGGGTAGAGCATGCCTGGAAATGATACCAATAACGATCATACGGCGCTGCTTTCAAAGTCACTCTGGCAAAAGTCTGAGCAAGCTGACAGCAATGCATCACACGTGTTCTGGAGGCTACATCCATGCTGCTGCTCTGCTCAGAACAGCAGGTGTTTTTTTCTTAAATCAGGGTGCAGGAATTAACCTGTGCAAGTTAACACTTGGCTGCTGCTTTAATTAGTTCTAATAGTAATAATAGCAATAAGTCATAAACAGCTGGCAGTATTTTTAATGTCAACAAAGCAGGAGCCAGCTTTTGGTGTGCCTGGTCCTGAGCAGGGTGGAAAACTCCACACCCCCCAACAGCCACCCTTTCAATATGAAGGTCACTCCAACCAAGTGCAAAACTGCATTTAGGTTTTGATTTTTTAATCGTGTACGCCACCAGAAAAGGGCCAATAATGCAGGGCTTGGGAGCTTGGAAAAGAAATAAGGCACAACATTCTTACAGGCAGCATGTCCCTGCAGGACACTGCGGTTCTGACTCAGCACCAGCCTTGGCAGCAGAGTGCAGGTGTTGAGCACAGAGGGCGCCCGGACCAAACCCCAAAAGGCAACAAGAGCAATGCCAGCACAGCAGAACGCCCGGCAGAAGAGCACATTCGTTATCAGCAATTCAGGAGCATCTGCAGCAGCTCTCAGGTTAAATGAGGCTGGGTTAAAGCCCAGGCAGGGAAAGAGCCACAGGGCGGATGAGGGCAGACCCTGGTGCCACACCTGCCCCTGCCACCACCGATAACCTCCAATTAGCACCAACCAACATGACCCACCTACAGGCATTGGGCTGGAACGAGATGATCTTTGAGATCCCCAAGACATTCCACAACTCTATGATTCACACCTGCTCTGCATCTCAAACGCCCCCCCCCTCCCTGCCCACCCATCATCCCCACCTGGGGTCGTTTGGTTACTCACTCATCGCAGCTGGGTCCGAGGGCACCAGTGGGGCTGCAGGCACAGGGCAGGCAGTGCTGCTGGCTGTGGTCGGGGTGGAAGCCATGGGCGCAGTGCTCGCAGTGCAGCCCCGCATAGCCTGGCAGACAGGTGCAGCGTCCCGGAGCGTCGTGGCACCCACTGCTTCCCACAGCACTGCAGTTGCATGGCTCTCCTGTAAGAGGGAAAGAGAGGCTGAAAGGGGTGTGTGGAGGGCACAGGGATTGGGTCATAGCCATATTATAGGTGCTTAAATATACATACACACATATATAATCATGTTTGTCGTTGTCTGGTTATGTGGTTGGTCAGGAGCTGAGCAACACGAGGTGATATCGGGGTAAAATAACAGTGCTGGTGGTCCTGGGCAAGCTGCTCCAGGTAGCCCAGGTGAAGCAGAGCACCTCCAGGGATCCCTCCCTGCCTCGGCCAGTCTCTGAAAACCATTAGCAGGTGATGAACCCATTAACTGTAAGATCCAGTCTCTAGTTTACTGGTGGGATTGTCCTTACAACAAAGACATTTTCAACACACCTACATGGTGCACCGGGTAGGACCACTGCTCATGGAGAGAGGATACAAAATCCTCCAAAAGCTGACCAGATTTGAGCTCTGTGCATTTGGGGCTAAGCACCCTCCTTTTTTCCATTGCAAATCCCAACTGCAGCAGCCCAAGCCCCCTGCAAATCTGCGCTCCATGCCAGGAGCACAGAAAAAGCTTTAGCCAAGGGGTGATGGAGCTGGGCAGTAGAGACCCGCTTGCTTTGCCCATGACATGATGGCCATTACCAGCTGTCCATGAGCTTTATGGACCCACACACGTGCTTTGGAGACCCACAAGTCCTCCTGGCACCCACATACGTGCTCCAGGGATGCTCATCCTTCACAAAGCTATGAGACCAAGCACCAAGCAGTCAGTGTTTTAAGAGAGGAACAAACCTGAATCAGCAGTGCCTTCCCAGTCCCCACACACTTTATTTCTTGTAATATTTCCAAGTACCTAACACAGCAAAGAGAACAACCTCCCCAGCAATTTGTTTCTGCCATGAGGTTTATCTCCGCTTCTTCGCTGCAAAGTATTTGGTGCCTTAATAATTTACAGTCTTTTACTGCCAAGTGTGAATTATAAACAAGGATTATTTTCAGAAAGAGCACATCAGGGCTTTACGCAAGCGCTGCTGTTTGTTATTCCCTGAGGAAAGCCACATTTGGGGCACCTTGCAGAGAAGAGAGGACAGGCCCTCAGCACACGAAAACATGACTTCAACCAGGCTCCAGACACCCCACGAAGACCCAAGGATGCTGCTCAATGTCAGCACTAGGATGTAAGGTTATTTAACACTTACACTGCGTGCTTGTGCCCCAATGAACCATGGGTGCTTGTGAAACACCTCACCATGCTTTGACTGCTTGTCTGCTTTCTCTCAACACACATGCATCTCAAAAAGATGAGTTATTTGGCTCTGCCACTCCACCAGGGAAGTCATCCCATGGAAGTCACTTGGTGCCTATGCACCTGTGAAGCTGATGCCAGCAAGTTAAGACAAACACCCCAAAACCCACAGGACTCCAGAACTCACTTCACACAAGAGCCCAACTCTCAGCTCAATTAACCCAGTGGAACCCCATCCATGTGGGTATTGAGCTTTTGCCAGAGCGAGGCATGAAAACATGCACTGAGCCAACGCAGCACCTGCACTGGAGTCTGTCAAAAACACATCAAAATACCTCTCAAACTCAATCCGTGCTGTAGCTGACAGGGCTGTGCTGAAGGAGGGATCAACCTGGTTTTGTGGTTATGATGTACAACAGGACAGGAGCCAAAAGGGAGGTAAGAGCTGGGGCTGGGCCACCCCCAGGCACTGCGATCCCAAACAGCCTGGCTGCACCAGTCGGCTGCAGGCTGAGCTCAGCAGTGGTGTCAGCTGCAGATGTAGATCATGCCATTTTCCTTCCATGGGCCGAGGCTCCCTCAGGCTTTGGGAGCTGTATGCTCTCCAACACACACAATCATCTGGATGCCTTTTTTTCTTTTTTTTTTTTTCCCCTCCTTTTCTTTCACAGGTCTTTGCTCATCAAAACTGCACAAAGTCAGGTCCAAACCCAGAGGCAGCTCAGCTCCAGCAGCCGAGCTCAACAGCAACACAAACAGCACTGGCTCCGCATTCCCCATAGAACAAGCAATGCTGCAAGAATCCAAACTAACACAGGCAAAAGGAGCTCTGTGTTGGCAGGCTGGAGGGAGCGCTAAACCCGAGAAATAATTGCCCCTGGCTGCAAGGCACAGCACCACAGGGGCAGCACAACTCCCCAGGGACAGTCACCCCATGTGGCCTTCCTCCCTCGAGCACCCAGGAGGACTTTTGGGAACAGAGAAGCATCACACATTGTATCCCAAGGACAAAAGTCCACTCTGCTGCACTCGGCTGACGGATTCCAATCATGCCCTCAATGCCCTTTGGTGGGAAGCAGAGGAGCAGCAGACAGCAGCGTCAAAACCCGGCGGCGAGCGCAGCGTCAGGGTTTGACATGATGATGTACCAGACTATGAAAACCCCAGGCTTAATTCAGACAACACTTTGGTGTCCTGACGGCTGCCGGGATGGAGAAAGCAAATGCGATCTGCAGGCAGAAAGGGAACGTGGTAACAAAGCCTCAGCCTTAGAGGTGTGGGAATCCATCACAGAAAGTGGGGATGGGAGAAAAAGATAAGGGAGCCCTGCCCTGGCTCCTGGCTGGACTCTGGGTACTCAGAGCCTTTATTCTGTTCTGTCAAGCAGACACATTGCTTTTGAAGATAACCTTCACAAACACCTTACCAAGAGTTTCTGCCTAATGAGACAGGTCAGAGGAAGCTGGGCTGGAGGTACCAGGTTTGGCTGCACATTGCCTTCAGCAGCAGGCACAGCAAAGCCCCCAGGGCCACAGCTCTGCTCTGAGCTCCTCACCGTGCTCTGCACCTCGCTGCCTCAGTTTCCCCACGCACAGCTCCATTTCCCATTTCTAAAGCATCACAGTTTCCTTCCCTTCCTTCCTTCTCAAAGCGCTCAGCTCTCAATGATAAGAACAGCCACCTTCGCTCATGAAGGTGCTGGCAGGCTCTAATTAACGAGCAGCCCGGTGACACCATGAGATCCCTGAATAGAGGCACTATAAAAGCGTGCACCCTTCCCACGTGCTGCTACTCCTCCAGCTGAAAAAAGGAAACATCGCTCCCTCCGTGAGCTGCGTTTCAACCTTCACCATTCACTGCCAGATCCACAGAGGCAGCTGGAGGAACGGAGCAGGTTCCCAACACGCTGCAGCAACAGGCACGCTGCTCACAGTGCAGAAGACCCAGATTTAAAGTGCAATTACAGCCAGCAGCAAGCCTGAATTGAGTAATTATTATGCAAAAGTCATAGGTTGCCAATAAAGCAGAGAAGAGTTACTCCTGGATTTTCAGCCTACTGGATGCACACAGTCGCTGCAGGATTACTGAAAGTTCTGCTCAGCAGCACCGACACAATGAGGAACCTGCTGGGATCCGTGCACGCACTGATGGACCCAACACATCCCCAGCCATGCCCTGAGGCACAGAACACAGCGCTGAGCCCCAGGGCTGCTTTTAGTGAGCATTTCTAATGCGTGCACAGCACAGCCCCCAGCAGCTGTCCTGAAGGGCTCGTTGCAGTGCAAAAAATGTTTTCTGAATCATATTTTTTTTGCATCCTATTGGACCTGCCGTGTTTTTGGTCCCCACACGTGCTTTAAGCATGACTCCTTTTTCCAACTGAGGCGCTTAATGAGTTAATAATTTAAAAGCCAATGAAATATTCACAAAACAGCAAAAGAAGAAATCGCTGTGAGACACATCAAGATGCCTGTATAAGACCTATATTTGCTGGGGACATCCTTAAACACCTTAAATCCTGAACAAAGTCCCCTACTCATTGGGAACCAACACAAAATTTCTTCATAATTCTGCAAGCCTCATGGATTCTATCCATTGCCCAGCCCAAGAACTTCCCCATGGAGACAGCCATTATCTGTCCCCAGGACTGCTTTGATCTCCCAGGTGTTACAGCAGCACTGACTGCACCTCTGCATGCTGCAGTGTGCTCACTGCACACAATAACAGCTCGCCCTGGGAAGGCTCAGTGATGCTCTTCATTCAGCACAGGCTTCTCCCTACATTTCATCCCCAAGTGCAAGCTCTGCCTGCCCTCCCTTTCTCCCTTATTGAGTCCAACCACAGTTCCACACAGCACCACCCAAACCCTATGGCTAAGAGTGACGTCCCAACACTCCTACAGCTGTGGCATCTGGGCTGTGCCCATCACCCTTTAAGACACAGCCTTTCCCAACCCCAGCTTGGCAGTCCCCTGACGCAGCTCCTCACCACGAATTCTTGCATGCTGCCAGCACAGAGCAGCACTGCTCATGTTAATGCTGTTAAGAGCTTTACGGGAATCACTTGTGTTGTTGTTCCATAAAAGGATTGCGTGGGTCAGTAGGGGAGAAAAGACAAGGATTTCTCAATGCTTATACGCCGCTCGTAATATTGTTAAAAGATTAAATGTGTTTGTTGAGGAAAATTAAATCAGATTAAATCCATCTCTTATCACTTGGAAAGAAACACAACGCCAAGGTGCCAGCTCTGGGTCGCCAACAGCACGGAGGCAGCTGGGGTAAAGCCAAGACAGTCACTGCTCAGCTGCTCCTGGGCTTCCAAGGGCTGCATGTGGCTCCTGGTCATCCCCGTCCCCTATCTGAGCACAACAAGAAGCAGCAGGCCTGAAACAAACTCGAAGATGTGGAGGATGAGTTGTTTTTATTCCTTTCCTGCACCTGCAGTCAAACATCCAGGCGTTTGGTTTCCCAGCAGTTGGTGAAAGCTCCTCCGTTGCAGCGCAGGCACGAAGCAATTTGTTGTTCTGCTGTCCTTTTTGATGCTCAACAAGCCAGCAACCTGCACAGCAAGCTTTGAACCAGCTCCTTCCTGAGCAACGTGTGTCAAAGCAGCCAGACACACAGGTGTGCGACTGAAGCATCAAACCCTGCAGACAGGCACAAGATCAGCTAACAGGCTGCACGACCCATCAGCCTTGCTGGGACAAAAAGCCCTGGGCGGCTGGGATCCCACCACCATGGGGAGCAATTTGCACCTAAAGCTGAGTTTCCACAGACAGAGAA